CCTGGGAATACCCCAAAAAGCAGTGTAAAGAGCAAGTAAATATTTGCCAAGATTTTAATTGCTTGATACGCTGTAAAATTAGATGCATATGCTTTTCCTGTTATTATGTGACTTCCTGTAGCGATGCTCTCGTTATTTCTTACTCGGGCCACATCATTAAGTGCGGTCTAAAAATAAATGGTAATTCGTCAACTCACGTGTATATATATAAATATATATATATGTACATATATGTACATATATGTATATACCAGCAAAAACCGCAAATGTAGCTGTGATTAATCGCTGAAGGAGCTGCTTGTCTGTCCGACTGTCTGTCTCTCGGTCGACCTGTCTGTTGGGTGCGGCACAAAGGAAAAGGTGAATAGAATTTTTGGCGAGCTCACAAGCCCGGGTCACAAGGTATTTTGGCCGTTACATCAGCGCACAAAAGTAGACTACAGTTGCGACTTTCTGTATCGCATTTTCTTTAATTATAGATAAAATATGCGGCTGGATAAAATCAATTTCAAAATTCAATTACAGAAAACACACAAATAAAAAGTGAAGAAATAAATGAAATTAATTTGCATTAAAAGCTATTGAAGGCACCTGTTTCTACTCCTTCTCCTGCTTACTGCTTCTCCTTCTCCTGCTTCTGGTTCAAATTCAAATTTAAATTGCCTGGAAAATGTTGAAGCTGTGCCCTGCTTTGATCGCAGCCAAAAAAAAAATGAGTATAAATAATGCAAGAAATTAAATTAATTACGCTTTTAAGCTGCCGTCTCTCTAAACAAAATTGCCAACCGACACCCCGTTGACAGCCGACAGTTGTGGCAAGTTTTTTATACCCTGAATCCATTAAAAATGGGTATAAGGGTATATTGTATTTGTGCAAAATATAAATGTATGTAACAGGCAGAAGGAAGCATCTCCGACCCCATAAAGTATATATATTCCTGATCAGCACCATGTCCGTTTGTCTGTCTGTCCGTCTGTCTGTCCGTCCGTCTGTCCGTATGTATGAACGCAAGGATCTCAGAACCTATAAGAGCTAGAGACTTGAAATTTTAGATGTATGTGCTCCTAATGCCTGCGCAGATCGAGTTTGTTTCCGATAATCGATAACTTACTCCGTTTCCAAGCAATCGATAAGATTCGATATCCATAACCTGTTTTTGGGGCAATTTTAGTAAATAATAAGAGCTAGAGTCACCAAAATTGACATATAGCTTCTAAAATAGAAGAGGGTTCAGGGTATCCCCTAGCCGGGAGCTCCCGACTAGAACATCTTACTTGTTTTCTTTTGTTGTTGCTGACACTTGTAAATATTTTAATATAAATATTTGCACAGTGGTTTTCTGTAGGCATCTATGCAATTTATCACAGATTGGAGCACAAATAACTAGAGCAGTAAACAGCGCTTGCAAGCTGCAAAGCTGCACTTGCTTTTCGTTAGGCTTTTAAAAAATCCCAAATCCTCACTTGACGCCCCACCTAGACTTAACACGAGTCATAACATTGCTGAAACTTAACCTTCGCATCAGAGCTGGGGAGACAAAATAATGCCGCGCTGCTTACTTCTATCCCAGAGATCTTATAGTTATTTCGTCTTCCTTCAAGCAGAGCATACGAAGATGAGATTTGTCTTCATCTTAAGTCATGTCTTTTAAAATTTATATTTCTATATATAGGCTAGCGAGGGATTCATTAGCTTTATCTTAATGTTAATGCTACTTGCCTGGCATAAAGAGCCAAATTGGACAGCTTCAATCTATAGAAAATTAAATTTCAATTTCAACCACAGCTCAACGAGTTTTTTTTTTTTGCCCAACTTCCATTTTACTTGGTTTCAGTTGGAACCAATTAATGGAATGAATACAAATACAAAGTGCATTTGTCCTGATGTTTGCTCTACGCAATGTTTAACACATTATCGAAATTAAGTATACGACTTAAAGTCGTCTTTATCCGTTTGTTGACTGGACGCAAGCAGTAGACCGAATTGACCCAAATACCTGACTACATGTACGCATGCACGTATCGTTGCTTGCTTGTAAATACCTCAATGATACATTCATATCAGTAAAAAAAAACGTAAGGAAAAGAAGCCAGAAGAAAGTTAAGCCTACAGCTTGACCCAACTGCCATTTGCTCGCATTTTGCTACCTTTCTCAGTTTTACGACTTAATGACTCTGCTGGGATTAATATGACTAATGGTGCGCTGCTTTTCATTCGATACTTTTCGAGTCCTTTATATGTATATGTATATATATATGTGTTTATGTATATGCAGACTATTTGGGCTTTTGTGCAATTCATGTCCAAATAGCCGCCATTGACGTGCCACACACACACACACACACAGACACAGACCCACAAATAATTATGGCTCCGAGTCGACTCTCACTTCGCTTTGTGCGCTGACATGCCATTTATATATGGGAAAAAGCCAAGTTGTATATATTCCTATAGGTAGGTATATTTGCTATTTACGCTATTGTTGACTCTGAATGACTATGGAATATTCTGTGGCTCCAGACCAATTTCAGAGAACATTCCAGCACATATAGTATAGTTCTCTTTCTTGTCCTCTTATTTGCCCTCCAAATGGGGAAACACGGTGGTCAACGTTTGGTTGAAAAGTATTAAAAAACCTCGCGTCGGACAAACGTCCGTGAGGTCGCCGGTTCAAATCTAGCAGCGATGCGTGGACACAATCAATTTTGAAACCGCTTGCATTTCATTTCGAATACAGATAAAAGTTGACTAAACGTTAAACATCTTACTCTCTGTTGGGCAAGTTGTTTATTTAAGTCACGGGAGTTTACCTTCAATGCTCACTTTTCAACACTCACTGTGTACACAGTGTTGCCACTAAGACTACTTTATCCTTCTTTAGATATATGTATTTTATTAATATTTAACACATTTTGCCAATCAAGGACATATTTTTGCTGTCTTTAGTTTAGTTAACTAAACGTGTGTCTTTCTAACTTTCGTGTTTGTTTTTCACTCTCTCGGTCATTTCCAACACTCACTTCCTTACTTCCAGCGTTGCTGCTAGTCAACTTTTACGACTCATTATAATTTTAAACACACTTTAAGGACTATTAGCCCCGGCTTAACTACAGGCTATATGGAATTATATAAAGGAAATATTTTTGGTTTCTTTATGAGAAAATTTAAAGTTAACTACATTTTGTATGTCTTTCTACCTTTCGTGTATGTTTTTCACTCACTCGGTCATTTCCAACACTCACTTCCATACTCCCAGCGTTGCCAGCTAGTCAACTTTTACGGCGCATTCTAATTTAAAACACATTTTTATCAACCCGGCTTAACTACAGGATATATAGAGTTGAATAAAAAGCGAACAGCTGGAAATTTAAACACTCGACACACACACAGAGTTGAAGTGGTCGTTTGACTGTCATTAGTCGAGTGCAGCAGCCCCACAAGCACCAATAACAACAACAAAAACAAACACTTAACAACAACAACAATAACAAGAACAACAACAACAAGAGAACAACACATTTTATCAAGACAACTGAACTAGGCACTTGGAGCTGAAGGTGTTGACTCTTATCTATGGCATGCATCAGTCAGTCAGGAAAATTAATTAACAACAACATTGACACTTGAAAATTGGACGGAACACGGGCGGACGTGGGCGGTGCAGCTGAAGGCGGGCGGGCCACTCGTAAAGTCAACAAGCTGCTGAGGCGAGTCGAGTTTGGTAAGCGCTGCTCCATTTGCTACTCATGAATTGTTTTGTCATTGTTGTTGCGGTTGGTTTCTGGCTACTGTTTATATAGTGTACCGCACACACCCACACACACACTCAAGTGCCTGCTGGCCAAACGGCCTCAAAAGAGACGTAGACGAAGAAATTTTCTTTTGCGGTCTGTGTGTGTGTGTAAATTGTGGAAATAAATTTCATTTGACTGTTGTTTGCTTTCTTGGTTAATATTTTCCCATCTGTGAGTGTGCGTGTGGGTATGGGTGACTTTCTGTGTTTTGGCTTTTGTGGTTTTAATCCTGCGCTCCATTCCGAAATATGTTTCAATTAATTATACACATTTCTTGTGCGTACCCACACAGCTTTATTTGTTTTTGTGCATCGAACAGAATTATTATAAATGATTGGCAAACTTTTTTGCAATCAACTGCAACAACAGCTTTTGGTTAGTCGGTGGTAGAATTTATTGCAGCGCATTAATTCACATATGATGAATACCACAATTTATTCAACCTGATATGTAGCTTTTGTTGTTATAACTGGTTGGGAATTCTAAAATTATGTACATAGAAAGTGTGTTCTGTTAATTTCATGGACTTGCCATATGATTAAGCTACGAATTGATATCGAAATTGCGTGCTTTAATCAAAACTATCATATATCGTATAAGAATATTTGGTAAGGTACAGAAATATGTTGCATATATAGCTGAGGTTGATATTGATTTATGAGAATACAAAGAGCTCGGCGAAATGTGTAATATATAAATTGGAGGCATCTCCTAGCCATTAGACCGTATGAGTTTTCATATGAAAACTATATTTATTTATTTGTTTGGTCTTCCGGACGGTTCCTTCCTTCCTTATTTTTTTTATATACTTTGCAATTATTATGTAAGCGCCTTTACAATATTATATAATCATTTTCTAGTTCTGCTTCTTGCTACCATTGAAGTGCTCATTCGAGCTGTCATTCCCACTCTCTGTTCTCCGTTGCAGCTCGTAACTTCCGGTAATTTTGCGCCGTAAAATGTTTGCCACCAATATCCGCTTGGCTGTCGTCAGCGTAATGCCGCAGGCCAGCAGGCATTGAGGCCACGTTTGCATTCTCGGCGTGTCCTTTGGAGCGCCTATTTCCGCTGCATTTTGCAATTTGCAATTTGAATTGCCACGTGAAAAGCGCTTTTCTCAACGCCCATATGCGCTGGCTAATTGCTATGCAACAACAAGAACTGCAAGAATTTAAGTAGAGCACAGTAAAATCTAAATAGCCAACATGGAAGAAGATGTTTATGCCACCCTCAACTATAGCGACAGCGAGGGTACAGCTGAAGAGGACGAGGATGGCTGGAACAGCCTGGAGATGAGCGTCGAGCAGCTGCAGCATTTGCTGCTCTGGCAGCTGCCCGATCGGGCAAACTATACGGACCAGCAGGCGTTGGCCAATTGGAATTTAAGTAATGCAACCGCAATGCCAACGCCGAGTCCCGCTCAGCCCGTGTTCGATGCGAACAACTATTGGGCCCTGCTCGCCTTGGTGTTGGTCTTTGGTACCGCGGCGGGCAATATCCTGGTCTGTTTAGCCATCGCCTGGGAGCGTCGTCTGCAGAATGTGACCAACTACTTTCTCATGTCGCTGGCCATAACGGATCTAATGGTTGCCGTTCTCGTCATGCCACTGGGCATCCTTACCCTGGTTAAAGGTGAGTGCTAAGCAAAAGCAGTTTATATATGTATATATATAGCAAATATTCTCATGGGTTTTAAGATTCTGTTTGGCGCTCACAATGTGCTGAGCATTAGTGAGCCGTGGCAACAAGAACTATGCCCCTTGAATTTAACTTTTAGTTTTTCACTAATTTTCCACTAGCTTAGGTGGAAATGTGAAACTCGTCTGAAATTAGATTTTAGTTCTGTTTATCAGCTAACTAGATATGATTTTAAGCTACTATCTATAATTATCCAGTTTTCTCGAATGACGATTATTTAACTATCAAATTTTCACTGATTTACCATTCGGAAATGTGTATTTTTTTCAATTGGTGAAACCTATTTTTAATGCTTTTTCAATCAAATCATGATGATATATAAAGAAATTGTTATGGGTTATTCAATACAATTTAGAATTTCCTCTCAGAAAGGCGAATTTGTTTTTAAATAGGTGAAACCTATTTTTCATGCTTTTTCAAATCCGATTAGATGCTATCATGATATATAAAGATATATATAAAGATGATACATAAAGAAAATATTTAGGGTATTCAATACAATTTTGAACTTCCAAAACTTATTTTTAATGCATTTTCAAATCGGATTAAATGCTATCATGATGATACATAAAGAAAATATAATGGATTATTCAATAAATTTATATTAAGTTTCCACCAACTTTCCAGTCAGAAGGGCGACACACTTATCTTTAAGATAATAAACTTTCCACGCGTTTTTCACTTAGAGTGACGGATTTACTAAAACACGCATTTAAACAGCTTTAAACTTAGCAGCTGCTCTGAAATTGGCGCCGCCTATTCCTTTGTTCATGCATCTGCGCAAAGGGAAGGTTTCCGATTCTGTATAGAGTATAACAATGCACGTTTAATGCGCTTGCAATCAGCGTGGTCCGGTACACTCACACGCACACACACACACACACATACACACACACACACACACACACAGACACACACACACACACACACACACACACACACACACGCACACACACACACACACACACACACACACACACACACACACACACACACACACACACACACACATACACACACACACACACACACACACACGCACACACACACACACACACACACACACACACACACACACAAAGGAGTGTCCTTGGGCATCCTTTGGCTGTCGCTGACACGCAGCCTGATGCTGCGCGCATATAATAAAGCTGCCTGTCAATGGCGGCGAATTCGGAGCACGCCTTGCCGATTGCATTATGTGGCAGATATTTCGATCAAAGCGACTAAACAAAAACCAGAATAAACTCAATGAAAAGCGCCAGAAAAACAGTAGAAAATGGGAAGAGGAAGGGGGGCTAAGAAAAACTAGCGGGTTGCCGACAATTTAATAAGCGCGTCTCTTTTGTTAAGCACAGCCTGGCAAGACAATGGCCAGACAGCAGCTCGGCAAACGGAAGCGTTTTTGGCTTCAGTGCAGCATAAGAATTGCATTAGACGTGCCAAACGAGCAAAGCACTTGGAGAGCAGACCAAGAGGAGCCGCAGGAGCGAACAGGAGCAGCAGTTGGCAGTTGGCAGCAGTTGCCCCCCGCGTCCTCCCTCTGCAACCATGTTGACAGTTTTGTTTGTGCGCTTTGGGAGCCATTACACACACAAAGGCACACCTGCAGGCGCACCTGCCAAATCGCATTGCCAAAGTGAGCAATGCAGTCGAGCGACCTTTGAGTGTGGGCGTTGGGCGTGGCAGCTTCTGCTGTGCAAACAAATGGCTGCCTGTTATATCAAGTGTGAAAAATACTGCATATAGCAGCAGAAAAAGCAGAAAAAAAAGTGAGGAAAACAAGAGTGCGCCAGTAGGCAGGGCGCGACTAGGAGATACCTAATAACTATCTTTGTTAGGATTCTTGCCTCCTTCTAAAAGGAATATATTACAAACCAAATTAAGAGTTTCTACCGTCCGATTGGCATATATTCAGAGCTATAAAAATGCCAGTCAAATATGTGTATAAACCAAAAATCAAGGTATTATCTCTTGAAACTCTGAGGGATAAATGAAGAAGGTCAAACTCAGATATATTATAAAGAGCGGAAGTCGCAATCGATATTTATCGATATACGATAGACTTGCATCGCAGCAATATACCCCTTGCTTAATCCATTTTCTGTGGGTAGCGGCTACAGAAAAGCTTATGCGACACTTTTGGCAGTCAATGAAGAACAAATTTGAATGGCGACCCGTGTTAGCCAGGGACGTAGCTGAGCTGCCGATAAAAAAGGTTGAATATATGGAAAAGTAATCGAGAATATTTTATATCTACGCATATATATAAGCCATAGCAAATGCGGCAATTGCACGAGTTCAGCACTAAAATATGCTTTTCCATGGGCAACTGAAGGACTTGCAGGCAAAGCACTTGTAAACCACACTTTAAGCAGATTCTTGCATAATCAGGGCGCTGACCACGCCCTCTACTTGTAAAATGCACTTTGTGCAGCGTCCGACAAATGCGCTAATTATCATTAAATAATTAGTATAATTCGTAAATCGGCATCAAACGTCAGCTTATTAATAAAGATAAGTGCAATTAATACCACGCCCGCCGCCCCACAACACAGATGAATTGAAAAACCTGAAAATATTTTAAAAATAAAATAAAATTCACGGAATCTGCCAAACAAATCTGAACTGATGTGAAAAGTGTCCGCAAAGCGTCAGCGAAAATAAATTAAGTGGCAACGCCAACAGCAGCGCATAATAAAACACAAAGGCGGTCGCAAATAAAAAGTATGGCCACAAATAATAATAATCATAATAATAAAAACGAGCGAATGAAGAAGACAGCAACAACAACAACAACAACAACAACTAATGAGAAATAAACAGCATAATTAATTGAGCGCAAATTGGCGGCGCTGTGATTTTTGCCGTCAGCGTCGCAAAGTAGGCAATGAAATTTTACAAGGCAATAGGTAGAAGAAGAAGAAGAACAGCAGCAGCCCAAGCAGACGACATACACAGGATTAGGATAGAAATAGGAGACAAAGAACAACAATAACAACAACAACATCAGTTCGCTGAGCAATAGAAAGCGGGATAAAAGCAAATTTATCATTTCAATGCTCTTTGCTGTCGTTGTTGTTGTAGTCGTTGTTGTCAAAAAGCATTTTAAGCGCTTAAGCTGCGACACGCACCAAGAGGCATGTCTCTTGCTGTGTAAAAGAGAACGTGAGAGAAAGAGAGGGGGGGAGGGCGAAGAGAAAGTGAGGCGGTGAGATTCACTGGGGACAGCTTTAAACAAAAACAACAAATTTTTGGAGCATGTGTCTCAGCTCAATTGAGTTTATCACGCACAAGCTGTTCCGCAATTCGAAATCTTTAATCGCCAATCTAAGTAACGCGTAGAAATTTTTTTTTGGAAAACTCTTGCTTTGAAATCTTGCTGAAATCGCGTTGGAATTGATTTGTGGAACACGTCTGCTCTGATTAGAAGGCACTCAGATTTATTCATTTCATAGATAAACGAGCCGCAATGAGCCATTGCGAAATCTAATGCCAAACTTTGGGCAAGTTTTTCGCTTTGCTTAGCATTTGCCTGACTTTATCATAAATCTTTAAGCTACCCACCTGAACTGCACGTGAGCGTAGGCAGCTTGTGAGAGGAGGGGGGGGGGGGGGGGGGGGGGGGGGGGGTTACGGGTAGCGGTGACATGTATACGCATAGAAAATCGAGGGCAGCTGTCGACTTGGGCCGAGCAGACAATTAATTTTTGGGGCCAGCCCCAAAAGCACGGTCAGGACTAAAGGACGACACGTAATGAAGTTTCTGTTACAGTTTTTGTTGCTGTCTGTTTAAAACACAATCATTGCGTACGGATGGGCAGGGGATTTGAACCCTTTTTGACAATCACTGTGGCAATTTTTTCTGCCTATGGTCTGGCAACGCCCCACTCAGCTGTCTAACATCCGCACATCAATCAAGCGGCCAGTGGGAACGTGGGCAGCTTCTGCTGCTTTACTTTAAGCTTTAGGCTGCTAGTTTACGATTTTCCATTTTCGTTTTTAGTTTTCGTCTTTAAGAACGGCGTCATTTGGCATATGCAACCGTTAGGCGGCGGGCTCATTGCCAATGCAACATCCTTTTTAGCTGCTAAGTGTTTTGCGTCCGCTTACAAATGTAGTTCAAAATCAAACAGAGAAGTCCAGCCAGAATTACAGATAGAAAGCGCCAGCTACTCGTACTAGGATTACATATTTCATTTTAAAAGGGTTTTCGATTATCATTCAGATTGAGATAGATTCAAATTCCAGGAATAGATTGCCCTTGGGCAAAGTACGTGTCGTTCTTCGAAAATTAATTATTTAAACGTCATTTATATAAATAAAACTGTTTGGTCTAATAAAGATTGGTTGACAGACTGATTTACTAACTGAAGACCAATGAAAACTTTTCACGGTATTTACTTTTTACAACGTTATTTAACACTTGGACGGTGTTCTTGGAAAATTTTGTTCGGGGAAAATTTTATTTGTAAATTTGTTTAATTTTAGTTCATCCAATTATTTGAAATACATTATTGTAATTTAATAATCTGAAAATTCTAGTAAGCGTATGCAGAATTTTGCATAAAATATTGTTTATTTTTATGCCGAGAACTCATTGAAAATTGGCAAGAAAAGTTTTGTCAAATTTATGTGAAAGACAGAGAAAAGCATCTCCGTCCCCATAATATAGATATATTCTTGCTCAGCCTCAACAGTCCAAGACCAAGACCAAGCTAGTTTTAAATCAGCGATAACTTGGCCCAGATTCAGAATATTTATCACTCTGTAGATATCCAGAGGTATCCCAGTTCTCCGCAGTGTCAAAGGTCTAAGATGTTAGACTTTGGTATTTAATTACATTTGGATGCCATACTAAATTTCAATAACGAAAGCATTTTTTTAAAGGAATGAATGGCTGAATTTAGGGTAGTCGGGCACTTCCGACTAGTTCA